CCTCATCCCTTTCGTATTCCACCTGTCTTTCTATATTGCCAGTCCAAATGTCCCGCCCCCCCAAAGGGAAACCAATTAGGACTGGTTACTTTGTTGATACAGTCTAATTGTAGATTCTTCCCACCCCCTGCCCTTCGGCCTGATAGTGAGGGTGAAAAAAGAAAGGCCAGCACTTGGCTCCTGGGCTCTTGACGCTGGTAGAAAATTCTTCGAGCTGGCTAGTATATTTAAATTTCCTGCTCCAGCCATGCCCCTTGCTTCATCCTTAGCTGTGAAGGCAGCTTATGAGTCCTATGTTGCTTCAGCCACACCTCCCTCCCGGTGGTGTTGGGATACAGGGAGCCTCTCAGCTGGTGTTTTACATCTGGCAGAAGTGCTTTGATTGCATCTTCCTACATGGCAGAATGGGGTTGGAATGGTTGGCCCTTGTGGTAGATTCTCTCTCCTCCTTCCATGTTTCCCCTCTGTCCTTGGCTTACTTCAATCGTTTCAAAGTGAGTTTGAAGTTTAAAAATATGGTGCACTCCATTAACACTGCAAGAGGGAGAGAAGAGGAGGTGGTGGAGTCTTGTTCTTCCTAGAAGGCTCAGGCAAAAGGAAACTGTTGCAGTCTCTCCTAGCTTGTCTGTTCTTTCTCATTAATAACTTTTGCCGTCTTGAACAACTCTGATGTTGCTTGGTCCCACTTGTCCCATTTGTGAAATGTTGATGGGTGTGCTCCTTGTGGGACTGGCATGATCCTTCCATGCTCTGCCTCACCAACCAATTCATTTCTTTTGAATTGCTCTTCTAGGGATTTTAGCACACAAGCCATGTCTTGCTGCAATTGTGTAATTTAAGGAAAATGAAAACATACTTGTTTTGGAGCTTTTATTATCACACATGTTTTCAATAGCACAGTGGTGACTTTTTGTGCCATCAATAGTCCCATTCTCTCTTCCACATTCCTTCTTAATCCTGCCTTTCTGAGCTTTGCCCTAACCATTATGCCTTTCTTTTCTTTTCTTTTTTCCATTTTTATTTGTATTTGCAATGCAATACTGGAGTTATGGGAATGTAATTTAGTAAAAAGAAGGAGGAGAAAGAAAAGAAAGTGAAAAGAAATGGAAGGAGAAATAAATCAGGCTATTTGAGAATAGAGAGGGGGGAAAGGAGGAGACTAACACCATATGACTGCCCAGTATTGGGACTGCTGCAGAAGCAACTTATACAGGGTGATCAGATGTCATAATTGCAATGGAGAAAAAGGCACCGCAAAATGTAGGACATTCAAGACAAATGCAGGACATGAACAAATATGAGCTACAAACACTTATGTAAATATAAATTCATCTTCTTTCTCATGCTCAAAATAGAGGGCATTTTGAAATTCTTCCTGGACAAAATGGTCAAAATGTAGGACATGTCCTGGAAAAGGAGGACATTTGTCACCCTGAACTTAGAGCACCTCTGAAGTAATGGGGTGGTGGCGTGATTGCCTTCTTATTGATGGGTTTTCCTATCAATGTCCTCTATCAATGCTTCATAGGCACAGCAGCCAAAGAGGCTGGAGGTGATGTTGTGTGATAGATATTGTCAAAGATGCTATTCTCTTGCTAAATTGCTGTTTGAAAACCCATATATGATAAAGTTCTATAAGTTGTTCCTCTGCTCCTTTATACAGTTATAAATTCAGGCCTCTGGGTGGAGCTGCTGCATCTCCTAACAGTTTGAAAATCTCAGCCAGATGAGCTTCCCTTTTGTCTCATATCATAATCCATGTTGAGGAAAATGCATATTTAAACATCTTCCATGTCTTGGCATTTCTTAATTATATGATTTGTCAGTTTTGCTTAGAAAAATGAAGCTCCCTTGGTAACTGTTTTATCACCAGCTGGACTATTCATAATAGGCAACCATTCAACTAGGTATGTTGTATTCAAGGAGAGCTAGTGGCAATTGTTGTTGGCGATGTGTGCGTTCAGGTCTTTTCCAACTTATGGTGGACCCTATTTATTTATTTTATTTCTATGCCACCTTTCTCCCAGAAAGGGATCCAAGGTGGATAAAGGCCCTAAGGCAAACCTATCATGGGGGTTTCTTGGCAAGATTTGTTCAGAGGAGGTTTGCCATTGCCTTCTCCTGAGGCTGAGAGAGTGTGACTTGCACAATTTCATCCAGTGGGTTTCATAGCCAAACTGGGAATTGAACCCTAGTCTCCAGAGTCCTAGTCCAACACTCAAACCACTACACCACATTACCAACTGCTAATTAAGAACAATCTTGCACTGCTTAAATGGAATCAAGCTACAGTCAAACATATTTTCTTGTTTCTGGCTGTTTCTAAGATATTTCTTGATCATTTTTTTTTAAAAAATAGGGGAATGATATTGGCACTTAAAGCTAGGTGGGTCACTGGCTGGTCCAGTGTGGGTAAGGCTCCTTGTCACCAACACATCAGATTAAAGAGATGGCACCTCCTCTGCACTGCACCCATAAAGGCCCTACCGCATATCCTCCAACATTTTCCAGATGAAAACCAAGAAATGTGTGGCAATCAACATCAGAGTGTGGTCAAGATAACAGAAGGGATTAACAAGGAAGAACACATACTGGTAAGTTAGGAGAGACTCCAGCAATTTGCTTTTGTCTGAGCCCACTAGGAAGCGCAAGATTCTGTTCCCTCCTCTCTTCTCTCCCCCACTGAATTAATGAAGTGCAGCTACTTCTGCATTTTAAATTCAGTTTGCAGCAATTGTAGTGAGTTGAGGATAAAGGGGGAAAGGGGGAGAGCGAAACTGGAACATTTTGGAAGCAGCTGATAAAGTGGGATGATTAATTGGGACTGTCCCTGCCAAGTTAGGAGAGTTGGAAGCTATCCTGCTGTGAAAGGAGGAAGAAGAGAGGAGTTAACAAAGTTGTTTAAAAGGAGAAAGAGATTCATTTTGTGCAGAGGCTTCTAATGCATATTGCAATGACCTTGAAAAAGCCAGAAGACATGGCTGTCATTTCATGCCAGCACAGGATGCAAAAAACCTGTTGCTGATTTTACAATAGGATGTCTTCACTTCCCTTGTTCACAATAAGCAATTTAGTGAATATTCTCTACACCCCTGCTGTGACTGAGGCAGATATATAAATGGTTGCCCAGACTATTGATTTGTGCAGATTTATAATTCACCAATGAAGGTTGCTGTTACTGAAACTGGAACATCATACTGATGGGGAAATTAACTGAAAGAGTAAGGGCTGCTACTAGAAATAAACAAGATCACCCTGGATTCTATGCAATATGATACAAATGTATTCATGGCACAAATGAAAATGCCAGCCTTTCTCTCCTCCCTCTCTTCACATATTGATTTTTGGACAGATTATAGCTGTTGTTGTTGTTTCAGCTGGATATTTTTTTTAGTTAGAAAGCCAGGAAACATAAACTTGATACATCTCATTGTACTAAATCTCAGATACATTGTTTTCTTGTTATGTTTTTTTTTCCTGGAAAATCTTTAAAGCACTAATTACACCACACACACACTGCAATTTAATGTTGCTTTGTGGCAATTTATGTCACTTCCCAGTCCAAAGTTTCCTGACTTTTAAAAAAAGCCAATAGAAAGGTGGCATATTGCAAGTCATTTGTGGTTTTCTTGTTTGTGATGTGGGTTGTGAGGTTAGATGTGGGTATGTCCAACCCCCTGACACCCAGATGTGTTTCTAGATGAAGCAATCCTGAAATGGCCTTTTTCTTTATTTCCCCCATGCTATCTTAATTTTTATAAGTTTTTTTTTCTAGTGCTATTGCACTTATGTGTTAAAACCATAATGGAGCTGCTGTGTTTGTTTCCTTGAAGCCAGAGCACCCCATATTCCTTCATAAAAAGTCACCTCCATGTTGGAATTCCCTGAACGGGAATGATCTCAGACAGAGACTACTGAGT